CGGAGTAGCTCGGACTTAATCTTGTTAAAGGCCTGCAAGAGAAAGCTCCGTAAGAAGGACGCGAAACTGAAAGGAGCGTATACCAGCTACCAAAACTCACCATGGAGCTAAGCCGGTGAGCCTCACCAAAGGTCGAGTATACATCCGATGGTTTAGTTCCCTCAGAAATGCCTTCGGTAGGAGAAGAGGGAGGCGCCAGATGATCCTTGTTCCTCGAAGTACCTTCCACGGGGATAGGAAATGTTCTCTCGAAAGAAGAGGCCTCCGAAGCCGGAAGATCGGCCGACTCGCCTCTTTTGAACCTCAGAGAAGGACTTGCCCCCCCGTGAGCATCCTCGCACCTCAAAGACTCTTTCCGTTTATTATCGGCCCTCGATCCCGAGGTCGACAGTCTCTCCTCCTCCCCCAGGGGACACGGCCTCATCTCGAATAAACCTCCAACACCTGCGGCGGTAGAATTAGTTCGCTAAAAAGAAAGTACCTTTCTATGGAAACAAGCCACCAAGCACCTACCATGATGCTTTGCCTCCCATCTCCCCTTGGATAGGTCTCGCCATTTGCGCTTATCATAGGTCGAGCAAGATGCCAGCTTCCGAGACTACTGAATTTAAGCTGCTCACTGAAAAAAGTCTCAACACTTCTATTAAAATTCTCATAGAGATCAAATGGAACAAACCACCAAAAGGGTGGTTTAAGCTTAACATTGATGCTAGCTTCAATAACCATAACCAAAAAAGTGGCCTAGGGGGTGTATTCAAAAACTACTTATGGAAATTGGGTGGTTGGATTTGCAAAATCTACCCAAGCAAATGGCTTACTACAAGCAGGAATGAAGGCACTGATTGAGGGAATCAAAACAACACAAGAATGGAGAATGTTCCCTCTTGAAATAGAGACAGACTCCATGGAGGTAATCCATTCTATACAACACAGTAATAAANTAAGGGTGAATTCAAGCCCGGCCTTATCCGCAAAATACCTTATCATCAGCACTATCTTCCAAAGGGATGGGTGAGCCTGCGCTAGGGTAACCTGATACTTTCTACAGAAATCAAGCACGACCCTGTCAGGGAGCCTAACGTAAAGGGATACGTGTACACATTCAAAAACCCCTCGACATGGGTCATGATGCTCTCCTCCGGGGAAGGTACCTGCAGTACCACTTCTTCCCCCCATCCGCAGTCTTTCCTAATCATCTCGAGATGTTCTTCCCCTATTGAGGAGATGAACCTCGATCCATGCTCCCTATGCCCTTGAGTGTTGGGAGTTATCTCCGACATAAAATCTCTCCTCGAGACGAAGCATCTCGAGGTCCGCTCACCAGATACCTGCAGTGTACCACCGACCGGACATGAACAGAGGCAGAACTCCCCTCTCCTTGATGAACAGATTTCGATATAGCGGCCATGGCTGCAGTAAAATAGGAAGAGGGGGACGAAGATTTGGGCGAAGGCTCTAAGCTGAAATGATGAGAGAACTAGCACAAGGAGTAAGAGTTCTATGAAAGGGATAGTTGCCCAGAGTAGCAGAATCCCCAGTTGAGAAATGAGCGAACGCATATATAGAGGCAGACGACGACTGTTCGCCTATCCAGGAGACCAATCAAGTCTGACCATGACAGCACCACTTTTTTGGGAAACGTACAGGTGGGACCACCCGGGTGGCCCCACTACCGTCGCATGAATAACGCTGTCATGCGGTGCTCGGGAAATATCGAAACCGCGAGGACCTCTGGTATTATAAGCGTTGACTCCAAAGAAGTCATCGACCTAACCTCGAGATGGTGCCCGATCTCGAGAGTCCCGATTGCCCCCTAATATGAACTCCTAAGAGTCAGCGTCAAAGTTCAAAGACTGAATTCCACACGCTCGCTGAAAAATAAAGAATGCAAGGCTGGAAACAAAAAATCTTTTTTACAAAAATATGTTTGCAAGGGGCACCTTTACAAGACCCGTTCCCGGGGAATACATGCACAAAAGTAAAAATACACAGGCCTACTCTTCGTCACCACTGCCCTCTGAGCCATCTCCAGGATCTTCATCCAAAGTGACCAAGAGTGCCAACTCTTCCTCCGCATTTCGGGCCTCCTCGATCTTGGCTGAGAGATCGGCACCTCCAACATTGGCTTCCTCTAAGGCTTGCCTCCTCGCCTTAGCGCGAGCGTAAGCGACGGCCCGAGTCAGCTTCTGCTCGGCCTCCTCTGACATATCTCGGGCTAGCTGATTCGCAGTAGCGGCGTCCCTCAGGTATGTAGCGGAATTCTCCTCGACCTTGGACTTGGCTGCAGATAGCACATCGACCTCATCCCGAGCATTTCGGAGAAGACCCTGAGTCGATCCCAAATCCGAGGTCATGATCTCGTTTCACCTCCTCAGCTCGAGGATCTCCGTGTTCATAGTAGCAAATTCTCCCCGAAGCCGCCCCGAGAGAACATCCTTCTGTCCGATCCGCAAAGGAAAAGATAAGTCAGTAGACTTCGAATTATGATAATAATGAACAAATTTATGAATAACAAGTTACCTGCTCAGCAAGACCAGCCTTTTCCCGGAGCGCTCTCTCCAAATTCGCCCGAAGTTCATTTAACTCCTCGTCCTTGCAGGCAGAGCAGGTCTCCGACTCCTGCAGTCCTGAGGTGAGCTTCTCAAGCTCCTTCCCCCGGCGTGAAAGCTTGTCTTGGAGCCTAGCGAAGGCGTGATCATACATCTTCTTAGCCTACAACAAAATAGAAGAGTCAGGAAAAATGAGGATAGGTATTTAAGACCAGAAAAGTGTACATGAAAAGCTATCACCTTCTGCTGGAGCCTCTCCGCTTCCTCGATAGCGTTGGGAGCATAGAGATCAATGTCCTCACTGACATCGTCAATGCCATCGAAGAAGTTGTCAAGCTCGCCTCCCCCTCTGAGGGGACCCTCCATGTTGGTAACGTTTAGGTCCTAAGCGTCCCGGTATTCCCCGGGCGAGAACCGAGCACCCAAGTTAAGACCACCCAGGGCTTCGATATCACCAAGGGGCAAATCTTGTCCCCGAAAGGCTCCGGGCCCAAACCCTTTAGAGCAAGCAGCAACGGTCTCCTCAGCAGAAACTGCATGACGTTCGACCAAGGGCTCAGGGACCGCGTTCGCACCCTCCTCGAGGGTCTCCACCACACGGGATCGATCTGAATCGACCGTTCTCGGTTCAGTGGCCTTTGATCGGGACGCCTGCGGGATATCCGGGCCCGACCTCATCCTTCGAACCAAACGGCATTCATGCTCATCATTGTCTTCGTCCCCAGTACTGGGGCTTGCTACGGAAGCTGAAGCCGAGGTCCTAGCACCAGCTCGAGGCCTGCGTGATTTAGGTTTCTTTGTCGCAGGGGAATCAACAGCTGCCTCTTTCCTCCTCTTCTTGCCCTTATCAGGCACCGGAGCCTCCACCTCGCCGTCGGGAGGTGATCTCATCAACACTCCGTCGCCAAGGCCTGCGCAAACATAGCGATCAAAATTTATTAACATGGAGGATATGGGGAAGATACATAAAAATATGATATAGGTGGCAAGAAGGATTTTTACCATGATTCTTGGCCACCCGCCGCGTTTTAGCCGGGTTGGGCCAAGACCGCCCGAGAAAGGGAACGAAACATCCAATTGTTTAATCCATCCCGGCAGATCTTGGACCGCTTCAGGATCCCAAACGGCAGCTGCATAAACAAAGGAGAGATCATTTTTCGGAAGAAAAGTAAGAAGACAATAATGCATGTTCGAGGGAGAGATACTTACGTTGCGTGTTCCACTCCCTCGGGAATGGCATCCTTTCGGGCGGAATGATGTCTGAGGTCGTCACTCGGACAAACCTGCTCATCCACCCTAAATCCTTGTCCTCATCAATGCTCGAGAAAAACGGCTTCTTGGACCGAGGTTGAAGCTTGATTAAACCTCAATAGAATCGAGGGTTGTACAATCTAATCAAATGGTCGAGGATAAAAGTGGTACCCGCGACCCTGTCGGAGAAACAATGGAGCATGTAGACTATCCTCCAGAAAGATGGATAGATTTGGCCGAGCGTCACTCGATACTTGTCACAGAAGTCGAGAATAACCGGATCTATCACCGGGGAAGGAGGGTTCGACGAATTGACGGACCCAAAGTGAATGGGTATGTGTATACATAAAGAAAACCAGCCTTGTGGTCCGTTATGCTCTCGTTAGGACGGGAGATCTCAACCAGCACTGCCTCCCTCCATCGACAGTCTTCCTTCACTTTCCCTATATCGGTCACGACACTGATATACCGAGACACATGTTCGCATCGGCCCGGTGTTGACGAGGGCTTGTGGACGGAAAAATCCTTCGCCGTGTTAAACTCTGTAGGCGTGCACTGTTCAACTGCGGGTATCACTTTGGACTTTCCTTTGGACGTTCGAGAAGAAGAGGTAGCGTCCTCTTTTCGAGGCAATGTTTTAGAGGTTCTAGCCATGGTGGCGAAAAGTCTTTTCTGAGAAAGTAAGTAAGGAATCAATAACAGAAGAAGGAGGAATGAGAAAGGGGATGGCCTTGGCTTTGAAAGCTTGAAGATGCTGTAAAAAGTTGAATTATCAAACGATTGGTGTATTTATAGAAGCCGTATGGGCAGCAGAAAGGACGAACCAATAGCGGTTCGTGGGCTTCTCGATAATCGTGTTGACGGCGACCCTTGTGCGGCTTTTGAGTTATGGCATTTAATGCTTTGATGTGTATGACTTCCAGCATATTATGCTGGAACTCCAACACGCGAAAAGTTCCAGTATAATATATTGGAGATTGGACCACCGGTGCTCCAATCTCGAGTATAGTATGCTGGACCGGTATATTATACTAGAGTATTTTTCCGAATTTGAACAGTGTTTTCGTTCAAATTTATCTTTAAATGAAAAGTGACTAATTTTCGATTACTTTTGAAACTGCGGCTATTTTTGAATGACCACTTGAAATGTGATTATTTTTTAATTCTACTGTCCATTCGATTGCAAAATTATCTAAGATGAACAGTGGCTAAGTTGGTTAAAATAATGAAAGCAGATTTATAATGGACTCTCGGATTGTCAAAATCAAAACCTGAATGAGGAGATTAAAACGCAGAGGTTTCAGATCCTGACCAGCCACGCTATATATATTTCAGTTGGATGCGGCGGTAATTAGTATCGGACATGAGAAGCTGAACTATGCGAACAAATGCCTTTTTTCCCGAGAAAGACCAAAGGTCAGTATTTTTCTCTTAATTTTAATGTGGCCACTTTTGAAGATTAATAGTAGTAATATTAGCAAATAGGATACAGTTTTGATTAAAAATTTATCAGTAGTAAAGATTGATAATAATGAACTGGAACAATTGATATTAAAATTAAACGTTAAGATGGCTGTAATGGAAGTCATTTTCCCCATGAAAGAAAGGTAACTCCAAATCTAGTAGTAGATGAACTTCTCTAATTTCAGGAAACACATCTTTTTAGGCTACTGCTTAACAACTTTGAGTTTGAAGTTTTTGCTATCTTCTTGCTTGGATATGGATTCTATCATCAAACAATATCATTGCTTTCTCTCTGTGCGTTATGTTTGTGTGTTTGTGGAGGGTGAAGAACTAAAACAATTTATTAATCTGATGTTATTAGTGCTGAACTCATGATTAAACACCTACTGCATAAGTGACTTACTCTTTTCTCTTGAATTCTTAATGTACTGAGATAATATTGAGTGGAATGATTACCAAATGAATCAGAGGCAGTAATAATTACAGGAAAGAATCAGATACATCCCTAATTACAGGGGAAGGAATAAAATACATGGCCAAATTAAAATGTTAAAATGTTTTATCGTTGTTGTTATTTGTCTGGTTTCCCTTGTTACGAATCTTTTGTCTCTGAGCCGAGGGTCTCCCAGAAACAGCTTCTCTACCCCTCCGAGATAGGGGTAAGGTCTGCATACACTCTACCCTCCCCACACCCCACTAGTAGGATTTTTACTGGCTATTGTTGTTGTTGTTTTTTGTTGTTTATCGTCCTTCCATAATAGTAATGCTAACTGTGTTCACGGAGCCTTGAGTTTTAGAAGATTCCTTCTTGGAACAGCTCGGTCTTGTTGTAAATGCAGGTTGTTTAGGACTTGGCAAATCAGAAATTTCACTAGTGAGCATAGATAGAACCACCGAAACATTTGGTCTATCTTCTGCATATTCTTGAACACATAATAGTCCAACATGTGCACACCTCAGAATTTCCCTTTCAAACTGCATGTCTATTATCTTGGGGTCAACCAATTCGACAATGTTATTTTCGTTCCAACACTTCCATGCCTGAAGAGCAAGCACATTTTACAACACAATGGAAACTTGAATTATGAAAAGTTGACATTTCATAAAAAGTAGTAGGAACTTAATTTTCATATGAACTTACATATGCTAGAAGGCTTAATGCACAATCATCTTGGTGAAAGCTCGTGTTCCTCCTTCCACTAATAATTTCCAGTAACAAAACTCCGAAACTGTAAACATCTGATTTTTCTGAGAATCTTCCTTCCATTGCGTATTCAGGTGCCATGTAACCACTGCATCATGTTATAATTTTGAATTTTTACTTTGTGTATTCTTTGCAATCATGAAAGATAAAGACAAAGATACACGAACTTACTAGGTACCAACAACTCTCTCTGTGTTGGCCTGATCTTGGTTGCCTGGAAAAATCCTTGCCATGCCAAAATCTGAAATTTTTGGGTTCAGTTGTTCATCCAACAAAATGTTGCTTGCTTTCAAATCCCTGTGAATAATCCTTAGCCTTGAATCTCTGTGAAGGTAAAGAAGGCCTCGACCAATTCCCTCAATGATGATCACACGTTTACTCCAATCAAGGAACTCTTTCTCTTCAGGGTCTGAACCTGTAAGTACATCGAAAAAATATACAAGTTTGAGAATATTACAAACAATTTCCTTTTTAGCTAGACACCATGAGATATAACAGAAAAGTAATGGTAATCAACTAACCGAAGAGATATGCATCTAAGCTTCTTTTTGGCATGTATTCATAAACCAGCATCTTCTCTCCTCTTTCTGTGCAGCAGCCAAGGAGTTTAACAAGATTACGGTGTTGAAGTTTGGAAATCACCACAACCTCATTCATAAACTCCTCTAGCCCCTGACCAGAAGACTGTGAAAGCCTTTTCACAGCAATTTCTTTTCCCTCTGGCAATTTTCCCTGTAGTTATATCATATTCCGTCAATTTCTATTCTGAAAAAGATAATAAATGACTCAATGACAGAGAACATTACCTTGTAAACTGGACCAAAACCTCCCTGCCCAAGCTTGCTAGACAAGTGAAAATTGTCGGTTGCACTTGCTAAGATGTCAAAGTTGTATACAAGTAGCTCTTCAAATTTAGCTTGGTTGAGGTCATCTGTAACCATGCTTTCCTTGTAGAAGTTTGGCAATGATTCTCGTAATAAGAGCTCACTCTTTTTCTTCATTGCTGATTCAAAAACACATTAGAGATAAATTGATAATGAATTATTAAAGCTACTAAAAATTTTCTAACGTTACAGATTAGATCGTTACCTCTGTGCTTAGCTAAATATTTACAGGAAAAGTATCCAAAAATGGCAAGAACTATTGAGCCTACTGGTACTATGATCCCAATGGCTACTTTCATATCTCTCTTTTGATCTGCATTCCGAAATAAGCTTACATCAGACATATGTTTTGGGCAAGCAGAGTTTTGTACTAGCTTATATTATAGTTCTGAAAAGAAAAAGGTATTACCAAGCTCAGTGTACGAAAGGCGAACGAATAAATCTGCCCCGCCCGTGGAGAATTTCTGAACATCAAGTAGGATTCCTTCCCAATGCATGCATCCTATGCCTATGTAGTATGAATAAGCTATGCAGGAATTATTCCTTAAGCAACCCTTATAACAATCTTCATCGGCAAAAGGCACCCAAATAGCAAGATCCGGTACTTTCATTGACTGCAGCTTCAGAAACCAATCTTGCTTACCTTGCTCAATGTTAGAGTTGTTTCTTTCACTCTCTAACATGGACTTTCTTAGACATCCACTAGTCCAATTTCCTTTCCTCCATTCCTCTTCACTTTTCGGCTTAAATCCCTCTAAACAAGAGCAGATTGGTGAGCTTCTAGGATCACAGCTTCCAAAAGGCCCACATTTTCCATAAAAATCGCACTCGCTTACCTGACTTTCCCATGTCACTTCCCAATAATTCTTCTTAGGATCCAAATATTTCTGATACAAAAACCCTGTTGAGTTCAAGGTGAAATAGGCAATCTCAGCCTGATTTGCGTATAAAAAGGAGAGGTATGCGGTTCCCTTATTGTCATTTACTAGATCAAATCCATTGAGGTAGAAAGAAGTCATGTCTGGTATTCCAATGAAAATCTGTTTATTCCATGGACCGCTACGCCAATGAGGGAGTCTCCCATTTTTCCATATGTAAATCTGGGGAACCGTTTCAGGTTGAATACCAGCTGAGAAACTCCCAGCAGATGGATCCGAAGGACTTTTCCATGATTTCAGCAGATTTGTCGTGTTAGTACTCTTATCGACGCCAATTTTCATATACTGCAAGAAGGAATCTGAAGGATCCCGGAAACTTTCCCAGAGGACTATCCCATTGGAGCTTTCTTTCAATACTAAGTTCCCAGTATCCAAGAGCTGGGCAGTAGAATTTCTCACAGCTGTTGAAATATTGGATGACCATATACTTTTCTTCTGTGCATTCAAGATTACAAGATTTCCATCTTCTGATATTGTCACACTTCCACTAGAATCTTGCAAAGGCTTGTCTCTGTTGGCTACCCATACAACAGTTGGTGATTGGATATTAAACATAATACCAACATACCGATTCGTTGAATTGTCTGGACTAAAGAACCCGAATATGAATCTTTTGTCATTGGAGACTAAAGTTTCTGAATCTTGCAGGGATTTATTGGTGCTAATGGTGTCTGAAGCATTTGCTATGTAAAAAAACAGAACAAGAACAACTCGAAATAGAAGTATCTTTCTAGTGCTTAATTTCATTGCTTATGATGTTTTATTCAGCCAATTTGCATGAGAATTAATTGAATATAAGCTGAAATGGATGTTCCTATAGTTGCAGTGTTTTCTTGATATTTTTCTCACACTTCTTCTCTACAGTATGTTTGACTCTATAAATTTCGTCTTTATCAGCTGTTGATCTGGATCAGATGCATTTGTTGAGCCGTCAAGTTGGATTTCTACACTACGATTATTTAGTAATTGACAATTAGCTCAGGAAGGCTTACCAAACAAAATCAACGGTATGGAAACTTCCATGCTAATATATAAATGTCAACAAGTATAGTCTCTCAATGTGAATCCAATTCACAAAATTAGTAGAAAGAATATATATATATATATGATTGAGCCCTCCTAAACTAGAATTAGATTGTCAACATATTCTCGGCACCACAATATAACATGGGTAGGAAACTTCCCGTGTGTCACCTTCACTAATAATACAACAGCCTTTTCAATAGGACTTCTGCCTTTGTGTCACCATCATTCATTAATAATACTATAAAGAATTTGTACATTGTGCCAATGGTGTTTTTATTACTCCCTCCGGTTCACAATAAATGTCCAATTTACTTTTAGCACGCCCATTAAGGAAATACTAAATTCTATACAAAATACCTACTATGACTAAACTACCCCTAATTAAATATTTAATGTGGGGAGTAAGAAAACTTTTTAGGGATATGTACATAGGGGTTATTTTGTAAAAACAAATTGAATTCTTTCTTGATTAAATAACTGGACACTTATTTTGAACCAAAATGAAAAAGTAAATTGGACACTTATTGTGAACCGGAGGGAGTAGCATGTAGCGGATCGGTGTAGTTATTGTTATTTTGTATCTCTCATTGCTTACAACAACAATAAATGCAGTGAAGTTCTACAAGTGGGATCTAGGGAAGGTAGAGTATATGAAGATCTTACCCCAGTGGCGGATCTAGAGTTTTGTTACTAGGTTTCCAAGAACCTAGTATCTTTTGCATTGACATTGTATTTCTATTAAGAAATTCACTAAATATTTATAAATACCTAATTGTAAATTCAGTTATTATTATATATTAATTTAAAATTACGATATGAACCTATAAAATCTAAATTCTGAATGTCGCTGCTTATCCCTACCTAGAAGGACAAAAAGGTTGTTTTTGATAGAAATTTGGCTAAAAAAAGGATAAAAAGGAAAGGAAATATCTCCTCATGTTTTAACCAATCGTCAGTCATCACATATCACTCAAGAAAAAGCCGACTTGAAATTTGCTACTCCAGAATCCCGATGATCACCTTCGTTAATGGTCCCCAGACTACATCTCTATTCTCATAGTTATTTTTCTCATTACATTCGAAGCTCCAATTAATGTGATGGGGCTAATGCTTCCGAAAGCTCATTGACTTAGAAGGAATATTGTCATATTTTTTGGGGTGTACATAGGTCGGGTTGATTCGAAATTTTTAGTTATCAAACCAAATTAATAATGTTGGATGTTTAAATTTATAAACCAAATCAAACCAACAAAGTCGAGTTTTTGCTTTTTTCCGGGGTTTTCTTGTTTTTTCCAGTAAAGTCTTCATAAAACACTATCTTTTAGTAGTAATTAGTCATTTATAGATATCATTTGCTATGTTACGGAATATAGATACTTTTTTGTGGTTATAAGATGTATTTGATGTATTTAAGCTATTGTATTCATGAATACAGTAGCAAAAATAAGCGTGAATCAGGGAAGTCCAGCTAATCAGTTGTTGTATTCGAGTGTATTCAACTGTATTCATGGAGTGAAACATGGGATTACAGCTAAACAGATTATTGCATTCGACTGTATTCACGGCGTGAAATAGGGGATTACACTGTTTTTAAAACGGAAAGTGAATTAATTAACATAATAGACTCCTAATATAACTCATCAAACTCAATTATAACACACAAAATTTATATTTTTCAGTTATAAAAAAGATTCTCAACCGCAAAATACCCCAAAAACACAGTAATCTTCAGAGAAATTATGATACATCTGAATACATAAATTATATTAATTAAAAAAACATATGAATACATTCATGGCATATAGCGAGACAATGAAATAGATAGAATACAGAGGGATACATTGAAATGCAATGAGAAAAAAAGACACTGAATACACTGAAATACATGGAATACAACGAGATACATTGAATTCACTTTCTTTTACCATTACATCACGGCTCTGTTCATGTTCTTAATTTCTTCAATGCATCACGAAGAGAATATAGTTGTATATTCACTTCAGGGGCAACGTTTGCACTAAAGATTGTTGGGGAGACCTTCCCCTGGAGCAATCAAAGCAGTTTTATGTACTCAATGGAGAATCATAACAGCGTCCTGGGGATTAGGGAGTATCCTAAATTGAATAAACCTTTTCATCAATTTTGTCATGCAGAGTTCTGATGTATTAATTTTCTGAGAAAGCTTTCTTCTTTGGTTGTATATTCAGTTGCTTAATCTGCGGTACTCATTCCTGCTTCAAATGCTACTCTTTTTCACTGAACGTACTGATCCACTGTATTCGCAGTCGTCGGGATGCGGAGCCGGAGCAATTTCTGAAGTGGGCTTTGCACAAATTTGGTGGAAGGAGGAGGAGATCGGAAATTTTAAAGGGACGGGGGAAGAGAATGGGATGTATCAAAGTAGATAGAGAAAGAAAATAGTGTAACTGATTAGCGTATTTAGTGGCTTCGGGCTAGGAGGTAACAAAAATTAAATATTTTGCTATAAATCTTAAAAGGTATATATAGAATATATTTTTTTTTAAATGGTATTTATTTAAAATAAATATGGTGTTAACCTTTTCTATAGGAGGTAAAAATTCTTACATTAAATGATATCATCGCTTTTAGCCCGCTCCAGAAATTATTTACATTCGGCCGAAAAGTTTTTAAAATTTGTATAATTTTGATACAACATACAGAATATATATAATATATATATATATATATATATATTCCACTATTATTTTGAGAACTGCTATATAGTATCATTTTTCCTATATTATCTTCATTCATTTAAAAGATAAAACTGTGAAAATGTTTTTAAAATATTTCTAAATTACATTACAATAAATATTTATATGTATAAAATATTTTTAAAAATTATATAAATGTAATGTCGGGTTGGTTTGGTTTCAGTTTGACTTTTATTAGTTAAAACCAAACCAAACCAATTATGGTCGGACTTTTTTTTTCCCAATACCAAACCGCATCCAATTTTTCTTTTCTGTTTTGACTCAAATTATCGATTTGGTACGGTTATTAATTTTCTTTGTACACTCACTACTCATTTAGTATGATCAAGCCAAGTCACAGCTTTAAAAGTTTTTATTTTTTATTTTTTTGGGATGGCATTACCCTGGCGATACGTCTTCTGCTTGTAAAGCCTTTTAGTGAAGAAAAAGAGATCGGGAAAAATATTCAAAATTAAGATGAAAGAAATGGAAATAGCATCTACTGTCTATTTGTTAATGATGCGAAATATAGTCTGTTTCACTCCCCCTTTTTAAACTGTTTCTATGATCAGGACCTACTAGGAACCAAGTCTATGGACTGGTTCCAGAAAATATGTACTTCAATATTTATTTTCTATGCATCCATACATAATATTTAGCAACCAAAAAATAATAATAACAATTAAAAACCTTGCGAAATATAGCAATTGGAGGCTCCCCCGCCCTTTATGTAGAAACCTACACTTGCTATCTCCCGCCAATAACTATTTAGTGTTTTTTTCATCTCTAATGGAATTTAAACCCTGATCTGCAAGATTTCATCCACTTCATTGATCGTCAGGCCATATCCTTGGGTGCAACTAACTCCCTTTATGTAGAAAACCTTGTATCTTATTTTATAATTCTCTAACGAATAATGGAATGGTAAGTTCAGATACAATGTAGACGTCTATATATATTGTGTGCCTTGCGGTTTGTAACCCGTTACATTGTGCTAATTGGGAAAAGAATTATTTTGAAAGAATCAATGAGCAATAAAGCCACTAGACTAAAAAGACAGTGTTCCCAGTACATGTCAATTAAGTAATCAGGTCATTATTCGAACTTTTGAAGCAACTTCAGGTGGGAAAAAAAAGTAGCAACTTCACAAATTTGAATTCACAAACCTGCTAACTAGAGAAGAATGTCAAAAACAATTTAAAAAAATAAAAGGAAAATATATTATGTCTTAGGCAATCAATCAGGAGCCACATCTTGCTGCAAAAATGTAGAGCATGCTTTGGGCTTCAGAGTTGCACACTCAATTAATCGCGACTCACTTAGCTGGCAATTAAGATATCATTGATTTGGGATTTCGCTGGCAATAATGGGTTGGTTTATAGGTAGTAAATTTTCTCACTACAGGAAATAAGCCTAACTGTGGAGGTTTATTTGTGGGGATCATAAGAACCCCCACTGTAATATCATTCTATGGCATTTCTTTTAACTGCCGCTTTATAATTCTTTTTGTGGAGGTCTTATTGTAGAGGTTTTTTATAAACTTCACAAATTGCAGTATATTGTGAAGGTTCGTAAAATACTGCAATTTAATACAATTTGTGGCAGTTATAACCTCCACAATTTAAGGTGTCAACCAAAAATCTGAACTTTAAAAAAATCTATCTATATAGAATAGGAGAAGCAAGTTACTGTGATGATGCCAAGTGTCACAATAAAAATTTAACAATTGTCAAATTTTAGGAAATAATTAGTGAAGTTGGTTAATAATTAGTTACTATTTTTGAATTTAAAATTTAAAATAAATAAATAACTATATATTTTTTAAAAAGACTATAGAAAAGGAAAAATATATAAATATAAAACTTCAATGTAGAGATATATTAAATGATAAGGCTAATTTTTTTTTGAGATGAGAAAGATTTTGAATAATAATTCATATGGTCATGCTATATGCTATATGGATAAGATAAAGCTAATGACAAAAACATAAACAATAATTTCAAGAAATGAAGAAAATAGACAAAGTTATAAAATTAAACTGCCATATTTAATATAACCAGGAAGAAGAATCCGATTTAATTTTTTTATTGAAAATATTATAAATATAATAAGTACTACAATTATTAGTAGATTTATGACATATATTAAAAGAACTTCTCTATCGTAACGACCCGGCCGGTCGTTTCGAGAGTTACAGCCCTGTTTCCCAATTTTCTACTTTTTTTGTGTTCTAAAGCTGTATTTTGATTTACCGGGTCAGTTGGTTCGGGTCATGAGTAGTTTTGGAGTGAATGGAGACTTAGTCTCTTATGTGAAGGATTAAGTTGGAAAAGTTGACCGGATGTTGACTTATGTGTAAACGACTCGGATTTGAATTTTGATGATTCCGTTAGGTGATTTTGTAGTTAGAAGCGCGTCCGGAATGTGATTTGGAGGTATGTGGTAGAATTAGGCTTGAATTGGCGAAAGTTAGAATTTTGGCGATTTTGGTCGGCATTGAAAATTTTGATATCGGGGTCGGAATTGGATTTTGGAAGTTGGAATAGGTTCGTGGTGTCATTTTTGACTTGTGTGCAAAATTGAGGTCATTCGGACGTGGTTTAGCGGGTTTCGGCATCGTTTGTGAAATTCGGAAGTTTAGAAGTTCTTAGGCTTGAATCCGAGTGTAATTTGGTGTTTTGATGCTGCTTTGAGTGATTCGAAGGTTCGACTAAGTTTGTATGATGTTATGGGATGTGTTGGTATGTTTGGTTGATGTCCCGAGGGCCTCGGTGAGTTTCAGGTGGTTAGCTGATCATTTTTGGCTTTAGAAGTTGGCAGATTTTCTGGTATTGTGTTGCAGAGTTTTTCTTCATCGCGTTCGCGAGAGGGCAGTCGCGTTCGCGAATGGTTATATGAGCTGAGGAATTTTGTTCTTCGCATTCACGAAGAGGAGGACGCGAGCGCGAAGGTTTGGTCCGAGTGTGCAGCGCGAACGCGTAAGAAGGGCCGCATTCGTGAAGAGAAATAGAGCTAGTTGGGGACCGCAGGTCGTTCGTTTACGCGTTCGCGAGGAATGCGTCGCGTTCGCGATTTGTTGAGCTGGTTAAGGTACGCGTTCACGAGTGGTGGATCGCGTTCGCGTTGAAGGAAATTTCCGGTATGAGGCAGTTGTGCTTCGCGAACACGAGGGTACTACCACGTTTGCGAAGAAGGACATCTGGGCAGTATGAAAAGGTTCAAAATCGAGGGTTCCGGAATTTTTTCACATTTCTAACATTTTTGAGCTCGGGTTAGAGATTTATAAGAGGATTTTGAAGGAGATTCTTGAGGTAAGTTCTTAGTGATCATTTCTATTCAATAATTATGTTTCCCACCTATTTGGTATGTTTTTGAGGTGTAATTTGGGGGTTTGAGGTGATTTTGGGGATTTGAATGGCCATTTGGTGTCGGATTTTGATAAATTTGATATGGGTAGACTCGTGAGTGAATGGGCTTTCTAGTTTTGTGACTATTGTCGGGTTCCGAGACGTGGGCCCGGGGCCCGAGTTTGAGCCAATTTCAGGTTTTGAGTCTAATTTAGTATTTTTTTCTTGTGAAATTGATTCCTTTAGCATGTATTAATGGCAATGTACTGCTTGTTCTATTAAAAAGGAAGTAGTATCAAAATATTAAGCCAATTGACAAGTTAATAAAAAGTCACATTAGTAAATGTATAACACTAGCTACTTGCTAATTGAATAAAAAATAAACAAGGAACAAATATTTTATTTGATTACTATATGATGTGTATCCTTTGATTTTGTATAGATTTTATTATATTTTTGCACAATATATTAAATAATAAAATAACAACTAATATCTATTAAAATAATACGATGTATTAGATCATAATTGTATAATCAATATTCTGTCAAATTATCTGCGTATCTCACGGGTTCTAACACTAGTATTTTAGATAGCAATGGTTTTAGGATACGCAGAAGTAAGACTAAATGTATACATTTCAAGTTTAGTCGGTATGAGTAGAGCGAATTTGAGATAAGACCATAAAGAGTCGCGGTACTAAAATTCAAACAATTTAAATATCTAGGCTCGTTATTTCAAGAGAATGAATATAAACGAAGATGTTACTCATTGAATTATAATTAGACGTTAAAATAGAAAAGTGTTATTGGATGTTTTTGATGAAGGATGATTATCAAAGTGAATAAGTTTACATAACAATTATTCCGTCCGTTTCATATTAAATGAGGTACTTTCCTTTTTAGTCTGTTCCAAAATAAATGACACATTTCTAAATTTGGAAATAATTCAACTTTAAACTCTACATTTACCCTTTTTGCCCTTAATGAGAAGCTTTTATAGCCACACAAATGGCATGGCCCCACAAACCTTTTACCCCTTAAGCTTTTAAGACCACAACTTTTAAAAGTCTTCTTCTTTTTTCTTAAACTCCGTGCCGAGTCAAACTACCTCAAATAATATGAAACGGAGGGAGTATAAGACTGACAATGTTATATTGTAAAGTGTGTTATATGGTAGAAAGCGTTGGACCGCAAACGTTTAACATATCCACAAGACGAGTATTGTAGATACACAAATACTAATATGGATGTGCGATTATAGAAGATTAGACAAGATAAAAATTATCATATTCACTAGAGGTGCAAGTAACACGTATTGAGAATAAAATAAGAGGTCATTTGAGATGGTTTGGTAATAACTTGTGTCAACCTACAGATGTACCGGTCTATATGTGTGAACGAAAAAAGTAAATTGCAAAATATATGGACATAAATTTCTTTTATTTTCATAATATTAGGATTTTGAATTTCAACAAATAATGTTAGTAATTATATAAATGTGTTATATTTTATTTAATCAAGGATATTTAGCAATTTGAATATTAAATGGATTATTTTAATAACTTTATTTGAATTTGTTCAATTATGTTTAAGTATGTTTTATTATTAAATTAGTTCTATTTCCTAAATTTTCTTTTATTTAAATAGTTAAAAGGAAATATAAAAGGGAAAATAGAGAAAAGAAAAATATTAAAAAGACAATATTGGCCACCATCTTCCTAGGATTTCCACTGCACATTAGGGGGTAATTTCGATATTAGACTGAAAATTATAGAACCGGGCAAAATTCCCTCTTTTTTCCCTTTTCTTTCAAATGGTACAATTAGTTCCCTCTCTCACAAATCTTTTAGCAGCGCTCGATGCTCTCTTCATCTTGTCTACGAAGCCAGTGGGGCGCAATCCAAAGAACAAAGGTTCGTACTTTTTCATACTCTTTCTTATTTCTATATGCTCTATATTGTCTTTTCTTACTTTCCGATATAGGGTTCCTAACCAGAATTGTTTTGGATCTTGAGTTATATTTATTTCAATTGTTGTGTACATTCCTTTATTTCGAGGTCCAATTGAAAATCTTACCCTTTAAAGAGTCATTGTTTTTGGTAAAATGAGTGTGCTTTTGAGAAAAAGAGTCTATAGTAAGAGATTGTCTATATGTATTAGGTGGTGTTTGACAGATCTCTTGTCTTTTATGGTTGATGGGGGTTGCCTGTATATAGTTGGATCATGTGCTTAGGATGGTGGGTAATGCACTCTTTCTATTTTGTCTGTCTTGTTATTTTCCCCCTTTTATGGGGTTTGATAATTATATTCTTTGGATGGCTAATTTTATACACTGCAAGAATATTTTAAGTAATTACTTTGCAAATTTTGAGAATATTTTGTTCTTTAATTAGAAAGGACATCAAATGAGTTCTGTTGTATGTGTGCAACTACTGCATCCTTGTATATCAGGGACGGTTGGAAATATGAGTACAATTACATGAACTTTAGGTGATTTTTGTAGATATTTACCCACTGAATCAAAGGACATTCTAGCGCAATGAATCGATCATCCAGGATTTGAGCTAATTGCCACGGTAAAGCACCCCTTGTGGTTTGTTTACTTCTACAGATGTATTTGGAGTTTGTTTATCAAAAGTTGTTTTAATCGTACTTTTGAGCAACTTTAGCTATAAATTGATTGCTGGACCAATATTAACAAAGATTACTGGACTGATAATTGTAACAATTTCTTATAAGTTACAACACATATCTCTTGTCACTCTTATCCTATAATAGACCAACTTCTTCCTATCCTTGTGCACAACTATATTTTATTTCAAAAAACAAGCTTGGCGAGTAATCATCGTCTTATATTAAGTAAAGTAGTACATTAAACTTTGGCTAGTAGTTCCGCCTTTGTCTTTTTGTAGCCTTATCTAACATATCTAAACATGTCTTGTCATTATAAAAGCTATTCGATGACTAGTCAGAGTAAGTGCTACAGATCATATTAAGTACTTCCTTTGTTCCAGTTTATGTGAACCTATTTCCTTTTTGATCCGTTCCTAAAAGAATGACCCCTTTCTAAATTTGGTAACAATTTAGCTTAAACTTACAATTATACCATTTATGAGAAGTTTTATAATCACACAAATACTCTGGGCCCATTTTTGACTTGTTTAGGACCGCAAATTTCAAAAGTTTTTATTTTTTCTTAAGCTCCGTGCCCAGTCAAACAGGTTTCACATAAATTGAAACGGAGGGAGTAGTAAATTTGTCATATCACACGACCTGTTTGGCTCAAAGAAGCATGGTGATTCTGTATCCATTCATGTAATGGATATATTTATAGGATTTTACCCTGTGAGTTCTAGTTTAGCACTTTTCATTTGCACAAAGTGAAAAATGGAAGTTTTTGTTTTTGTTTTTGCAACTTTTGCTAGTTCTAAAGTTTTTGATGTTGTATGCCCTGCTCTTCAGTTTTTCTTTATATAGTTGAATTTAATAACAAGAAAGCATGTATTTAATTACAAGCAACTAAACTTTTATGATTCTTATTTCATCGGTTAACAATTTTCTTCGTTTGTACCTTACATTCAATTTAATTATAATGTCAAGGTGATGTAAATTCATCAAGGGGTAAATCCTCTTCCAGTGCAAAGGTTTCAGCATTGATGGGCTATTTTTATAGCATTGAGGAGTAAGTTATGCTTCTTACCTCATTTCTTGGTTAGACATTTTTTTCAGAGAAACTTAATATTTATATAACATGCTTCTTATTAGAGGAAACTGCATCAATTGAAGAACATTTGCAGCTCTGAGTATCAGTTGGATTTAAGCAAAGAGGTGCTAGCCTTGAGAACAATAAACATGGTTGGCTCAATGACAACTGCTATATGGCCCAGGTAGGTATAAACTTGAGATACAACTTTGAACTCACAACTTACATAAATTGATGGTTTTAGTTATAAATTGATTGCTTATGTATTTTCTTATTCCTAGGACTATTGTTTACAGAAATATCAGTACAATATATACAGAAATAGTAAGGGTCCTTGGCATTCTTATTGTTAGAGGTGATTCTCTTGCAGTTCTTACTTGATATAGATACTAGTGGAATTTATGCCTTAAAAATTTTGATTAAGTACCTCAAGAAATAAGATGAAGTAAGCTGATAGTATATAAATTCTATTTTTTGCGTCAAGTTTTGGCACTTTCTTGTTGCTTCTTTTGCTTGAAATTAGCTCCAGAAGATTATGCGCAATGGCTTGTTTATTTAACTTATTATTAGTTTATATTTTGTAGTTCATTTCCTCTACTTCAGTTTCTAGTGTTGTTATTAGCTTTCAGCTGGTGCAAGTTTAACTTCTGCGAATCATTGGGCTGGATTACAACTCATAGTTTATTTGTTTAATGCTAGAAAGCTTATAGAGGCTGACGTATACTCTAATAGTTATGTAGGTGAAATTTTCATGAATATATGGCTAGATTTTATGCTGCCAAGTAGAGTTTGGAGGTAAGTTTTATGATGATATACGAGGAAATAACTTTGTACTTTAGCTCTTTCATGTGAGAATATCGAGTAACTTCTGTCAATGCTATTAGACCAAGTGACAGATTTATTTGTAAGACGATTGTAGCTTTCTTTTATTTATGTAACTAGATTTGTCCTTTTAGCCTGTCAAAATGCTAGTTGTTTATAAGTTTTTCATCACATACTTTTGTTTCATTGTTTCAGCATAGTGATATGGAGATCGAGTGTGTTTCACCCATGGATGTAAGAGTATCATTAAGTGACAACATACAAATCACCAAGCAAGTACTTTTCACTTTTATATATTTATTTGTTGAGGAACTACTCTAGTCTCTAGATTGTCTAGTGTTTAAGTTATCATATATGTGTTTGTATAATTTAGTTTGTAATGTTTGTTGCTATAGATATTTGTAAGGGAATTTGAGTTATCATATATGTGTTTGTATAATTTAGTTTGTAATGTTTGTTACTATAGATATTTGTAATGGAATTAGAGTTACTAATTTAGTAAACAATTATTTATTGAATCCTAGAATTAAAATTTTTAAATAGGTATTGTGGCAGTTTATAACTGCCACTTGTTAATTTTTTTTAAAGATTGAGATCAAATTGTGGGGGTTATAAACCCCATAAATTAATTTTTTTTAAACGTTAAGATCATATTATGGGGGTTAAAAATTGCCGCTAATTGCTTTTTAAAACTGCCACAAATTAATATTTATTTTGTGGCGGTCGGCGAGGAGGTTTTAAAAAACTGCCGCAGAAATGCTTGTGGTGAACATATATGTGGCATTTTTTCAAACCGCCACAATTCATTTTGTGGGGGTCGAAAACTGCCACTAATCGTCCAAAAAACCCCCCCATAGAATCAGACTTTTTTTGTAGTAACTGTCTGGATACACTTTATTAACTCGAGTTGATCCACATAAACAGTGTATTAAAAAGATTTCAAGGGGTAAATTAGTAAAAATACCTTTCTTATTTATAATTTCTTGGGAAAGTGGGCAAGTAATATGGGACTGAGGGAGTACATATATTATTCCATGAGATGTATACTATTAGACGTCTGTATCTGAGATTATGGGCATGGTATATATATATATATATATTAGTTAGCAAACTTATCAAATTCTTAATTGTGTCTTGTGGAAAATGATCATTCAAATTTTGAAGAAAAAACACTGTATACAGCTCACCGGCCAAAATCACACTTCAGTATGCATGAAATAGCAGTTTCCATCTGTCCCTATTTCTTGAATAGCTGATTAAACTAAAAAGAATGACATTAGAATTTAAAACTTCTATTTCAATCAATAAAGTATAATATCTAGATTAAGAAAGATTATTTAGGTAATAATGTACGTTGTTTGTTTGACAAAGTCCATATATTAATTGTCTAGCCAGTGATAATTCGAAAATGGAGTGGTTGAAGTGCACAAGCATAATATCCATGTTTATACTTTAGAACAAACTCTTGAGTAAAATTATTTTGTGGCATTTTATCTTATATTTTGACCAAGGATAACTTGATGAGTACTACTTGTTTTATTCAACGAAGCCATAAAATATAGATAAGATCGTCCCCATCTAGAAGTTGCTTTTCATTTGTCATAACTCAAAAGGGATAAATGGAGAACTTTCAAAACAAGGATTAGATTTCTTATAAATATAAATATGTCACTCCAGTTAGAAAAAAGATGTAGAAGTTAAGGAAGTGGCTATCTAAGTTTACAAAAAAGGTCATTTCAATTAGAAGAAGAAAAAGATTGCTAGTACTAGTAAATTTGTAACTATATCTTTTTTATTCAACCATTCAATATTTATCAATTAGTTCGAATTTACATCGGATATATAGGTTATCCGAATAAAGGCTCCCTACCAAAAGATTCTTATTAAGACCTCGGGGGAGAAATTTCAACCATACTACAACACTCGCGGGTGTACTTGTGTCTTTTAAAAAAGCAATTTGGATTCTAAATGAGCTTTCTTTAATGGCTAAAGTCTACTTCATTCGGTCAGGAAAAACATCACAGAAAACACCAAAAAAAAAGGGGAAAAAAAAAGAAGGTACAGAGCAGTACAAGACTAACTGAATTTTTACATAAAAAGCACATGACAAAATTGCAATTTGCACTCCTTGATATTTTAGCAAGTTGATAAAAAAAAAAAATTTCGAATAGAACTGCTTCAGAAAATTAAATTGATCGAATAAAGTAATTGAGTGTCTATACAGATTAACATAATGATTCGTTCTCCTTCCAGTCGACTTTCCTTGCTCCTACAGATCTTTCTTGCAGAAATGTTTTTCAAACTTCTTCCCTTGTTTTCTATATTAGTCCTAAATATTTCCTTGGTAATGAATTTTACTTTGATGCAATAAGTAAATATTCTTTAATCATCCTAAAAATGAAGAAGTTGGAATTTAAGAATTCTAAGTTTAACAATGTTATATTATATATTCAATGGAACTATAGAACTTAAATTAATCATTTTCAACTTTACCAAGTGTGCTAAATGTAACGACCCAATCGGTAATTTTGAGCTCTAGCATATCGTTCGGCGATTTGAGACCTTAAGTAGCTTCACTTCATATAATATGACTTGCACGTGTAGTTGGATTAGATTTTCGGGAAGATCAGAGTTGGTTTGGAAGAATAATTCTCAATTCGGAAGCTTTAAGTTGGAAAAGTTGACCAAGGTTTGACTTATTAGTAAACAACCTCGGATCAGAGTTTTGACGATTTCGTTAGGTCCGAATTATGATTTTGGATTGAGGCGTATGTCCAAATTTAGATTTGGAGGTCCGTAGGTTGATTTGATGCTTTTTAAGTTGGAAGATTGAAGGTTTAGAAGGATGATAGGTTTGATCGAGAGTTGACTTTGTATATATTGGATCCGGATTGTGATTTCGGGAGTTGGTATAGGTCCATTGTGTTATTTGGTACTTGCATGCAAAATTTGAGGTCATTCCGGAATGATTTGGTATGGTTCGGTATGAGTTTTAGAAGATTAAAAGTTCATCAGTTCACTAGCCTTGAATTGATGCGCGTTTCATGACTTTGATGTTTTTTGGTGTGATTTGAGGCATCGAGTAAGTTTGTGTTATGTTTTGAGACTGATTTTTGCGATTGGACAGGATCCCGGGGACCTCGGGCGTGTTTCAGATGTGTTTGGGTTGTGTCGCACTCTTATATGATGTTTCGGCGTTGTTTCTTTGGCATAAAGGGTACCATATTGAGAAAATAACCTTTAATTTATGATTACACTAAACCATTAGATCCGTATCATAATTACAGAACCATAGCAATAAGAATCATCGAATTCTGAGGTCATATGAGAGAGTTATGCCGATTTTTATGTCGGGAAAGATTGCTAATTTCTAGTGTAAACTTCTGTTATTCGCGAATACGATAGAGGTTCCGAGAACACAAAGAAGGAACAAAAAAATTTGCTCTTCGCAAACGCGACGGTTTCCCACGAAGGCGAAGAATAAAAATCACCTGAGTAGTTTTTTAAATGGGCAGACCGAGCATTTTAGTATTTTGAGCATATCTTGAGTTGTGCAGTTCCGTTTGAGGTGATTTTTGCGGCGTTGTCCTCTTCTAAGGGGGTAACTATTTAACCTTTATTTTGATATTTTTTTATGATTATATTCGTTGGTTATTAAGCCCCAAATTTGAGAAATGGTAAATCCTTGATTTGAGAGTCAATTCATAGAAGAAATTGGATGATTTTCTTGATATAGACTATATAAGTTATGAGTAATATTTATTTTCGATTACTTTCGGAATCCGGCAAGTGGGCTCTAGGGTTGACTATGTTGATTTTTCGAGCAGAGTTAGAAATTGTTATAAATTAGAGTATTGGAGTATATTTTGATTGGTTTGCACGTTGTTTGATTAGTTTCGGATCGTTTGGCATCGGTTTGAGGAGTTAAAGAGGCGTTGGAGCCGGTTATTGGATTTCGGTTCGAGATAACTCTCCTGTCTACCTTGCGAGGGGAAATTTACCCTGTAGGTATTTATGTGCTGCATGTTGTGGGACCTACGCATGTACGAGGCGATGAGTGTCTGTGTGTATGCTAGAATTCCTAATTGTGTCATGGTAGAGAATCACGCCATGCTTTAATTTACTATTTGAGTTATTCTTGCATATTAAAATGCTTTAATTTACATTTAGCCTAATACTAGACTTGCGTAGAGTATCGGACTTACTATTTTAGATACTTGACGAGCTACTTGATTAGCTGTGGAAATTATACTTTTCTTTACGGATTTTTTCTGCGTTGTGTGTATTCGTCATATAGTTTTTCTTGAACTTATAATTCAAATGTATATTCATGAGTGGGGTAAGTGACCCGTCAAAGTTTCATATTCTAACGGGATAGGGCTGAACGCCTCAATAATACTCTTATGGGATCGGCTCATTCGCCTCAGTATAGTAACATATTCTTATGGGATCAGTCCGTTCACCTCGGCAGTATCATATATCATATTCTTATAGGATCGGACTGTTAGCCTCAAAAGGATTATGTATCACACTCTTATAGGATCGGATCGTTCGCCTGGTAGTTCTATGAAAAACTCTTATGGGATCGGGCCGCTCGCCTCGGCAGAATCGTGCGAAAGACTTGATAAGGAGTCCACATACTCATGAGTTTCTTGACTTGAGATGTGACTGTTGATTTGATATTGACCATTACGTATTCCATTTGTGGGGGTATCCGATAATTGAGGACTTTGTGTTCACTGTTTAGTTGTAGACTGTATTATTTGCTTATATCTGTTCTCACTGTTTACCATGTTTCATACTTGTCACCTCATTATATTTGATTTATTGGACCACTAGTAAGTGTCAATGTCGATCCCTTGTCACTACCCCTTCGGGGTTAGGCTAGATACTTATTGGGTACACGTTGATTTACATACTCTCGCTACACTTCCGCATTAAATGTGTGGTACTGAGGCATGTACATTAGGTGTTCATCTTGGCGCATTGGCGCAACTACTGAGGGGACTTTATGGTGAGCTGCATTCTACCCTACAATTCGCAGCACATGGATTCTCCATCTTATTTAGTTATTGTATCTTGTCTATTTTATATTCCGACAGATGTTCTGGTAGTATTGTATTGATCTAGTAGATGCTCATGCTCTTGTGACATCGGGTTTTGAAATTTCCTAGTGGATGTTCATAATTTTATTTCATGTTATTATTACCACTTCACGTTATGATTTATTTATATTTAAAAATTTGATAAAGAAAAGCACAGGTTTCTATGAGTGCTAGATTTTATTCTATTCATTTAACAAAATTATTGATTTTAAAAAAATTAAAATGGATAGTGAAGTGGAGGTTCACGTGTTGGCTTGCCTAGCAGCATAATTGGGCGTCATCACGACCTATTAAAGGATTTGTATCGTGACAACTTGGTATCAGAGCGCTAGGCTCACTTAGGTCTCACGAGTTATGTGCAAGTCCAATAGAGTCTTGCGGATCGGTACGGAGACTTCTGTACTTATCTTGGA